AACCCAATCAACTTATCCGAGATGATTGAATAAGATTCGTACAGGTAATTTCCAATGTTCCAATAACCCAATCAACTTATCCGAGATGATTGAATAAGATTCGTACAGGTAATTTCCAATGTTCCAATAACCCAATCAACTTATCCGAGATGATTGAATAAGATTCGTACAGGTAATTTCCAATGTTCCAATAACCCAATCAACTTATCCGAGATGATTGAATAAGATTCGTACAGGTAATTTCCAATGTTCCAATAACCCAATCAACTTATCCGAGATGATTGAATAAGATTCGTACAGGTAATTTCCAATGTTCCAATAACCCAATCAACTTATCCGAGATGATTGAATAAGATTCGTACAGGTAATTTCCAATGTTCTTTGTATACTCACAAGAATAGACAACAACTTAGCCATAGTATGTACCTAGACAAAAATTAATTAGTCCAAAATCAAGTAGAGCCAGGGGAAGTGAGATTATCACAAAAAGGAGCAAATCGTTTTCATTAGCTTATTTGATAGCACCAATAAGAAAGTCCCTCGCTATATTACAATGTTCCTAGGGAGTTCGCTAACCCCCCATACAAATCTTGTTTGATTCCCTGTAAATTAACAAAGCCTTTAAAATAATAAATTACGGTATATTAGCACATCTCTGCTGTCTGTTCTTAGTATTGGGATTTCTTTGAGTGATGTTGTGATGTAATCATGTATTTTATGTTGTTTCTATAGGTTTGTGAGTGTCAAACACACTTTGCAAGAATGGAAGATGGTAATAAGACACCTATGTCTTGTTTTGCTGGACAGAGAGGACCTGAAATCACTCGAAGCTTACTTGAAGTTGAGGCTACATTTGATAAGAATTTACAAATATTACGAGATGTCAAACATACAATCTTGGATGTTAAAGCAACAACTTGGCATGATGATTATAACAGGTAATGTCAAACATACACTCTTAGATAGTAAAGCAACAACTTGGCATGATGATTATAACAGGTAATGTCAAACATACAATCTTGGATGTTAAAGCAACAACTTGGCATGATGATTATAACAGGTAATGTCAAACATACACTCTTAGATAATAAAGCAACAACTTGGCATGATGATTATAACAGGTAATGTCAAACATACACTCTTAGATAGTAAAGCAACAACTCGGCATGATGATTATAACAGGTAATGTCAAACATACAATCTTGGATGTTAAAGCAACAACTTGGCATGATGATTATAACAGGTAATGTCAAACATACACTCTTAGATAGTAAAGCAACAACTTGGCATGATGATTATAACAGGTAATGTCAAACATACAATCTTGGATGTTAAAGCAACAACTTGGCATGATGATTATAACAGGTAATGTCAAACATACACTCTTAGATAGTAAAGCAACAACTTGGCATGATGATTATAACAGGTAATGTCAAACATACACTCTTAGATGTTAAAGCAACAACTTGGCATGATGATTATAACAGGTAATGTCAAACATACACTCTTAGATAGTAAAGCAACAACTTGGCATGTTTACAGTTGATATTAAATCATTCAGTAAAAAATATATTCTGTGATAATTATTATTTTTTTCAAGGTTCCGTGCTGGTATCAAAGATCTGGAAGTAATGATACAAAATGCAATCTCATCTGCTTTTGATACAGTCAAAACAGTAGAACATGCTATTGAGATTATAGATGTATTTATACATTTATCATCAAGAGAGGTAAATTACATGTCTTCCCTGACTACTCTATTTGTACAGTGTTACTCAACTTTCTTCTGTTTGTACTCACTGTCTTGTCTAGAAACCATGTACAACAGTTTGCTGACAATGTAATTAGGAATATTGTAATGAAAATTGATAATGATATTGTAGTATTCATGAGTACCTACCCTGGTATTTCTGCACCCACTTGTAACAATATACTTCTTTAAAATACACATCATATTTCACACCGTAATACTCTTTGATTTAGTATGTTACAAGTTTGATTAGAAATGTTTACATACTGGTACATATGTTTTCCCCTCAGAGATTATTTCTGTAGCTTTATTAGGGTTTTAGGAATTATGTAATGGTATTAATAATTATGTAATTTTGAATTTACCATATTAAGGATATGGAAATGGTGTAAGCATACAATTTTGACAGTGCCTTACTCAGCTATCAAATCAATTATTGAAATCTCAATCTAGTCATATCAAATTATTTGTAAACCGCACTTCTTCACAGGCCATTAAAAGGGCTATTGACAAAAGAACAGTAGAATTATACGGTTTATTTAGTGAAGAATTAAACCTTGTCAAGAAAGAACTGAACAAGAAAAATGCTGACCTAGGTGCTATGATGCCAAAGTATGCTGGACAGTCACATTGGGCTCGAGCTCTAAAAAGAAGAATTGACAGGGTTAATGAGGTAAGTGAATTTGTTGTTACATGTATTTAATGTATTAAAGAATATGACACTGCATCTGAAAGTGTGACTGTTTATTTGTTATTAGGTATTGAACAAGGCTTATTTCTTACCACAAATTGGTACTGGAGATGACACTGCATCTGAAAGTGTGACTGTTTATTTGTTATTAGGTATTGAACAAGGCTTATTTCTTACCACAAATTGGTACTGGAGATGACACTGCATCTGAAAGTGTGACTGTTTATTTGTTATTAGGTATTGAACAAGGCTTATTTCTTACCACAAATTGGTACTGGAGATGAAACACGAGACAATTATACCAAATTGGCAGTAGCACTTGATGAGTTCACTAGGAAGACATTTAATGAATGGACTCAAACTGTAGACAAAAACTCCATTAATTTACTGGATAAACCTTTACTGTGTAAAAGTACTGAACGACAGGCAATGTTAGATATGAATTTTGACAAGTAAGTACATCAAATGTTTCCTCATAGCTTTCATATGAAAATCTTATTCCATTTGAAAGACAGGTTTAGGTGGGAACTATTCAATTCACTGTCTGTACTAACATACTCTATTATAGGTCACTTGAAAACAAACAGCTGAATTAGCTATTTAGGCTGTAAGACAGTACTGGGGATTGGATGCATGTATTTCACATACTAATCATACTACGGTATAACCTTAGAATCTATATAACTACAACTATATACAGCTACTTTTTGATAGTTCCAGAAATGCCATGTGTTTAGTTGTTGGCTTTAGTTGATGGTTCCAGAAATGCCATGTGTTTAGTTGTTGGCTTTAGTTGATGGTTCCAGAAATGCCATGTGTTTAGTTGATGGTTCCAGAAAAGCCATGTGTTTAGTTGTTGGCTTTAGTTGATGGTTCCAGAAATGCCATGTGTTTAGTTGTTGGCTTTAGTTGATGGTTCCAGAAATGCCATGTGTTTAGTTGTTGGCTTTAGTTGATGGTCCCAGAAATGCCATGTGTTTAGTTGTTGGCTTTAGTTGATGGTCCCAGAAATGCCATGTGTTTAGTTGTTGGCTTTAGTTGATGGTTTCACAAATGCCATGTGTTTAGTTGTTGGCTTTAGTTGATGGTTTCACAAATGCCATGTGTTTAGTTGTTGGCTTTAGTTGATGGTTTCACAAATGCCATGTGTTTAGTTGTTGGCTGTTTGATGGTTTCACATATGCCATGTGTTTGGTTGATGGTTCCAGAAATGCCATGTGTTTAGTTGTTGGCTGTTTGTTAATGGTTTCACAAATGCCATGTGTTTAGTTGATGGTTGATTGTTTCACAAAGTACTTATATTTTAATTTACAGGAGTCTATCCAAGTTATTTAATGAGATTTACTACTGGGAAAAGTTAATGTTTGAGATACCACATTATGTGACTGAAGTTTATCAAAAAAGAGAAGATCTGAGGACACTTCGAGAGAATGTTTTGCTAGTGGTTAGAGACTATAATAGGTGAGATTACTGACTCATGATTTTATTTCTATTGTCAGTCTGCATTTGGATGATGATTCTACTCTGTATCCATCCATCCATCCATCCATCCATCCATCAGTCAGCCAGTCAAAATATCTGATATGCCTGAACTGATTACATTCAAACTTTAATGATACATATTATATCATACCTGTCTATTCATTTTACAATCTGATTCATCTCAATTCTCTCTTGAAAGCCATTGACCAAGTAACTCAAGATGTGTCCATATCACCTACTTAACCTAATTAACTACTACATTGTGGTATAAAAAACATTCACTTTAAAGAAGCTAAAATAATAAATGTCAGCAATACATTTTTTAAATTCTTATTACCAGAGTCTGCCATTGTTTGTGTTGTTATAATTAGGTATCTCCTCAGCTAACTACTTATTTTTATAGAATTATTGGTGCATTGTCAATAGAAGAGAGAGGATTGTTCCGAGAGAGAATACGATTTCTTGATAAGAAGATACACCCTGGCTTAACTAAACTCACATGGGCTTCAAAGGGCATATCAGACTTCTTTATTGGAGAATGTAGACTACATGCAAGCAAGGTATGTGACTATGTTAAGTCTTCTCAGCTTCAATATATTCTACAGTAGTCACTATGTTAAGTCTTCTCAACTTCAATATATTCTACTGTAGTCACTATGTTAAGTCTTCTCAACTTCAATATATTCTACAGTAGTCACAATGTTAAGTCTTCTCAGCTTCAATATATTCTACAGTAGTCACTGTGTTAAGTCTTCTCAGCTTCAATATATTCTACAGTAGTCACTATGTTAAGTCTTCTCAGCTTCAATATATTCTACAGTAGTCACTATGTTAAGTCTTCTCAGCTTCAATATATTCTACAGTAGTCACTATGTTAAGTCTTCTCAGCTTCAATATATTCTACAGTAGTCACAATGTTAAGTCTTCTCAGCTTCAATATATTCTACAGTAGTCACTATGTTAAGTCTTCTCAGCTTCAATATATTCTACAGTAGTCACTATGTTAAGTCTTCTCAACTTCAACATATTCTACAGTAGTCACTATGTTAACTGAAATTCTGGTATTTTTTCTAGATACAATCTATCGTTGATGATTACAAGACAGCTAACTTAACAATATCAAGAAACTGCAAACGAATAAGTGAAATGTTGCTTATAAAGATAGATGGAAAACGAGTTTATGACAATTTAGAATTTGAAGAGGAACAACAGAGACATCGCAACAACACACAGAAGAGGTTAGCGGTTATACATGATGAGATTGTTAGTACCATGAGACATACCTATGAAGTATTTAGAACTGATGGACAAGAAGTAAGTACACAAAATATTAGACTCATTTACATTTTCTATGATGTAATCATGTCTAGGTGCAACATCATTGAACTTATCTAAATATTCTATGATGTAATCATGTCTAGGTACAACATCATTGGACTTGTTTATATATTCTATGATGTAATCATGTCTAGGTCCAACATCATTTGACTTATCTAAATATTCTGTGATGTAATCATGTCTAGGTACAACATCATTGGACTTGTTTATATATTCTATATGTAATCATGTCTAGGTCCAACATCATTTGACTTATCTAAATATTCTGTGATGTAATCATGTCTAGGTACAACATCATTGGACTTATCTAAATATTCTATGATGTAATCATGTCTAGGTACAAAACCATTAGACTTATCTAAATATTCTGTGATGTAATCATGTCTAGATACGAAACCATTAGACTT